TATTGCATTGGTACTGGTGGCTATGGTAGTGTTTACAAGGCACAATTGCCAAATGGCAAAGTAGTTGCCTTAAAAAAACTTCATCGGAGGGAATCAGAGGTACCCACTTTTGATAGGAGTTTTAGGAATGAAGCTAAGATGTTGACAGAAATACGACATAAGAATATTGTCAAGCTTCATGGGTTCTGTTTGCATAGACAGTGCATGTTTTTGATCTATGAATACATGGAAAGAGGAAGCTTGTTTTGTGTTCTTAGAGATGATGCTGAAGCTGTGGAATTGGACTGGATGAAAAGGGTGAATGTCATAAAAAACACAGCACATGCTTTGTGTTACCTTCACCATGACTGTACCCCACCCATCCTTCATCGGGACATATCAAGCAACAACATTCTATTAAACTCGGAGTTAGAGGCTTTTGTTTCTGACTTTGGAAATGCTAGGCTTTTGGATCCTGATTCATCTAATCATACCACACTTGCTGGCACCTATGGTTATATTGCCCCAGGTTTTTTCTATCAACATAACAACATTCTTCTTTTGTTGTCTTATTTCACAATTTACTATTAAATTGACATGTTAAATGTGTGATTTACCTATGCAGAGCTTGCCTATACAATTGTTGTGACTGAGAAATGTGATGTTTATAGCTTTGGGGTTGTAGCATTGGAAGTACTAATGGGAAGGCATCCTAGAGAACTGTTGACATTGTTATCAAAACCATATTCTTTGCAAAATGTGATGCTAAGTGATGTATTGGACACACGTCTATCGGCTCCAAGAAGCAGAAATGTTATCCAAAGTATTGTTGTTGCTGTTATGCTTGCATTGGCTTGCTTGCGTGCAAAACCCAAGTCCAGACCAACAATGAAATATGTGTCTCGACAATTTGTTGCCTGCCAAAAACAGCTTTTGAAGCCTATTTCAACTATTTCTTTGTTGGAACTTGTAAGTTCCGATTTGGGGATGGAAAATGGAAGGGAACCTCAACCGGAAATTGTATTAGAACTTGCAAAACTAAATACTGATTTGGGGATGGAAAATGAGAGAGAACATTCAGAAGTTTCATGTCATCTAGATGAGTTCCATGGTTCTTCCTCAAATTAGATTCAATCGAGTTTCCTTGTCCTTTTTTTTTTTTTTGAAAAAATAAATCTGTTTGCCTATTTCATGCTTCACTTTTCTGTATTAATATGTTGAAATTGAATACCACCTTGTTTTGTATATATTTCTCAACCAGGACTACAAATTTTTTGTACTGAAACACATGAATGCACCAACACAAAGTTCGACACTCAACAAAAGAAATTGGCTATGTTTTTTTTCAAAAGAATCCAGACTGCATCATGCTGTACCATGGAAACTATTGTCCCCAATTGCTTCAATCAACCTTGATAGCATAGAAGATGCCAGACAAGCAATAAAGAAAGGGCATTGACTTTTTCAAACATGGTATATGTTACAAAAGAGCCTTTTCAATGTTTATCTCCAGCGCAAGAGGGCCCATTAATACACTTCTGCTTAAAAAGGAAAATATCTAGGCTTGCCAGCATAATTATTAGATGGACCAGGGAAAGAATGTAAGATAAAATTGTATGCAACGTATAGTCTAGATTTTTTTGAAGTGAATAAAAGCTGAACACCGTGGATCTGTTGCTACAACATTGCAGCACCATACATTCTGTCTTGCAGAGAATAATTATCCAAAATAGAATAGAACTCTTGTTGACATGTTGTTGTGTTATAACAAATAATGTAATTTGCATATC